AATCGTATTAATTAATTTTATTTTTGTTTAAGACTGACAAAGAAAATAATCCAATTTACTTTTGGTGTCATCCGTGATATCAGTTAGTTGTCGCATTATATCATTTACTCTTATAGCGAGTGGAATTCATACATCAAATTATCACAGTGAATAATTTTTTTTCTTGTTTATCTGTTTCTCGTCGAACGAATGGGGGAAGAATGAAAAATTTAAATAAGTTAAAAAAAAAAAATTAAAAAATAATTTCCAACGCGCGACAAATCCGATTCTCCGCTTACATTTATAATTCGCTTACGTCACAAAATATTTATAATTTCGTCATATATTTTTTGCCGCTACGTCACACCTGCAAAATTACATACATTTATAATTCGCTTACGTCACAAAACATTAGAAAAGTATCGTTAAACTATCGAATTATCCAAGTTTGAAAAACGGGGTCAAAGAAAGGAGAGTAAGAGAGAGAGAGAGAAAAAAAATAAAATAAATAAATAAATAAAAATAAAGAATTTTCACGGAAATTACTGAAAGCCTTAAGGTGGTATTTCTTTACAAATCCTCCTGTCGACCCCCTTTTGTGCTAATGGAAGTCTCACTCACATTTCCGACTTGAAAAGAGACAAGTTGGAAAAACGGGGAGGAGAGAAAAAAGAAATAAAAAATAAAATAAAATAAAATAAGTTAAGAAATATTCTCGCAACACAGTCAGTAGGTGTCGACACGTATCGAGTTGAATTTTGATGGAAATTCGACCAGTACCCCCTTTAGAATGTTCTTTCCGGCGTCACGTGACTACGACGACGAGGTATCGAATGTCTTAGTAACTGGTAACGGCTCGCACTGTCAACTATTGTCAAAATATACTACGTCAAGTCTTAATTTGTCGAGTGCAGTCTTTCCTTTGGGATTTTTCGTTTAATGGTTGTTTGTTGTTCTTTTTTTGCTTTCTTCTATCTAATTAAAATAGTCGAAAACCCACCGTGTGAGTGCGTTCGATCTTAAGTAGTATTAATGGTTTAGTTACGACCGACAGACGAACTAATATATTTTTAAATGAGATAATTACAGATTTGTTCTTATTAAACTCATCGGCAAAACAAATCGTAACGAATGATTTTTATGGATTATTATTATTATTCTTTTTCTTTTTTTTTTTTGTGCGTGCAAGAAGAGTGTTGCAAGAGCAGCAACAGTCACCAACTTTAGAGTGACAAGAATAGATCTCTTAGGAAATTTAACAAGAATCCTCAGGCATATAATAGGCATTTGTATTCTTCATTCTTCTTTTTACTATTTAAATATTAATGTTCCCTGCAAAGAATTTATTTCTCTTGAATGTTAAGCAATCATAAGTCAACGAACCAAAATGAAGATTCATGATGGCTACCGATAAAAAGTGGAATGCCAAATAAGTCGCTATGCAAAATATATATATATATATATGTATATCTTTATTTTTTATTCGGAAGGAAACAACAATTCATTTGCAATTCGTATTAGCCGATCAAACGGATCATCTGTAGATCTACGCGTTGAAAGAAATGTGGAAGAATATTTTTTTTTCTAGAATATCTAAATCTTTCTATGCAGTAAGTGGGATGGAGTTTTTGAAATGTTTCAGAATGTCTACAGCTTTTTATTATGGGAAAAAATGCAATTTACATTTTTATATGCGAAAATTATTGGATATAAATATTCTAGAAATGTTAAGTATCTTGTAACATGACAATTTCGAGTGTGGATCACTTTGTAATCAACTCTGGAATATTCTACAAATGAAATTTTTGGTAATATAATTGAAACAAAGTATCCGCATCTTGCGTATTTCACAAATTAAAGAGCGGCTTCTGATCTGACGTACAATCTAGGTACACTAATTCTAGATTGGGGACATAGATTCTTCTCTACAATATAGCATTTTAAAAACGAATAAGTTGGAATTCTGGCGAAAAGAAATGCAACAAAGGTACTATTCCTCTGGGATAGATTAAGTAGTTATTAACGAGCGAGCAGCTGTAATCACACTTATGCGTAAACAAGAAACAAGAGAGCACACATTCTGTAATATTTGCATTTCTAGAAGGTACACGGTAAGATTCTTACAAGAAAGATCGATAATAAAATTACATGTTTCTTCGTCATAAAAATTAAGAAAATGACAATGTTAACAGACATTTATTGCCAAATTCCGGATCAGAAACGAGCGCTAATCCCGCATTTTGCACGTTTTTGGTTCTTATCGATGGCAAACGTTTTCTGCGCGGCACGAAACAGAGCGACTCCATTAACGTCAAACAATATTATCGACAATACGTCAGACGGGGGGACGTGGCGGGGAATGAGTATTTTAAAGAAGAATTTGTCAAAAGTCGAAAAATATTTTTCCTACTTTTAAAATTCGAAAGGAGGAGCGAGAGGTACGCGTGGGATAGGTCCAGATGTTTTATGAGGTCAGATGTGAGCGTGGTAAAAAGGCCACCTGTCACGTTCCCGACCCTAAATGGCTACACCCCGCTTCAATTATGATTCGCCCGCTTGATGGTCTTCAATTTTATACATTTTTATAAAAGAAATATCAACCATTAAATAAACGTCTCCTCTAATTATGGACGGACGTTTGCGGAATTAAACGAAATCCTCTGTTTTTTTTTTCAATTCTGCTTCGTAACTTCCAAATTCGTTTTGGCGCCATCTGTTGTAATACTGGAGAACTATATCATTAATTATATCTTTTAAATTAAAAACAAGGGAAAAATATTAGTACGAGCTCTGGATATTTATATTTACTTCGCGTAGAATTTTCGAAAAATTTAATTCACGCCCGCATACGAAGTTAAAGTTATCGGAAAAATTTAATTTTGAAATTTTACGCGTGTGTAATTTTAATATAGCAAATACTTTTTTTTTTGTTGTTTATATCGACGAAACCTTTAAGTTATTTATGCAGCCAATTTTTTAATCTTAAAATTTTGTTTACTCTAAATTTATTTTTTAAAGGAAAAAAAACATAAAATGTGTTAAAAATTGCGATTGTGTCTCCATCTATGTACGAAAACATTTTTTTTTTCTCCCGCATCCTGGAGAATTTTTAAATCATTAGATACGCAGTTGACAAATTAACAATGTCGTTTGTAATTCTCGGCTAATTATAAACGCATATATCAGAACCGGACAAGTTTGTTAATTGTCCGACACCCGGCCCGCTTTTGATTAATGTTTCGCATCGTGTTATTGGCTAATTCGTCTCACGTGACCGGCATCTTTCTCTCCGTCATAAACTATTCTTCGACGATCGAATATAACCCGTTTAACAAAGTTTGATTATACAATTTAATATTTATCGAGAAACGTATGTCGACGGCTTTTCGAATTATAAATCTAATTTAAATATTTTGCAAACCGCCAACCGACAAAATTAAAACTATAACCCAAATAACTAATTTGAATTTAATTAACGTTATCCTTATTGGTTGTTCGATTAATGACGTCGAAAGTTTTAATAAATGATCAATTATAAACTAGTCTGACGATTATTAATTATAGAAGACATCTTGTTTAATCTCGCTACCGTGTAATATTCTCGTAAACAAAGAAAATAAGAATTTTATTATTATTATTATTTAGTTTTTGTTTACGAGATTATTGAAATCTAAAATGGCGCCGCGCAGCTGTCATTTTCGATCACATGTAACTTTATACACGTGGTACCAAGTTTATGAATAAATTTCCGAAAGTGGTAAATTACAAGTTTTGTGTAATTCGAAACGGGAAAATACACAAAACTCTTGTCAAATTACGATCGATACAAATATCAGATAACGATTAAAACATCTCGTAGCAACTGGGTTGTGTGTGTCGATATATAAGCATCTGTTTTCTATCTCGTCCCGTTTCCTTAATAATTGGTGACAGAACTGCTAGTCGTAATGGCTTTGTGATGTAGTCTCTCTTATCCGATTAGCCCAGCATAAACCGCTGTGACGCTTACTACCAAGATTAATACATCTGACACTATCTGATAAATCTTGCATCGTGATTTGAACCGGTTTATAGTTTATGACTATCGACTATTGAATAAGTTTTTCCCCCTTCTTTCTACTGTAATTTTTAAGAAAAAAAATTATCCTCAAATAATTATTATTCTGCAGCATTTTTAATGCTCTAGGAATATTCATGAATCGAGTAGGAAAAATGTCACTTCGATGTCTTTAAATTAAAGGAAGAGTATCAAGTTTCCTTTCGTAAACGTGAATTTACAAGGTGTTAAGTTACCGGAGAAAGATCATCGTTTGTTTTAATATCCGCAATATTATGGGATTATGTAAATATATTCAGTTAAAAGACAGTTTTACTTACTTAAAAATATTGAAAATTACTTTTCGGCTGAGAAAAATGATTACTGGATGTAACCGTGTGATAAACGTTTATTATTTACAGTGTAAATTTATAAAACTGCTGATAATCAGATGAATATACATAAAATGTTACAAGAAATGAAAATACATATTCAAAGATATTTACAATGTTTTAGAATTTATATACTGTAAACCAAATTATAATTCATGTCATACAGGCCTATGTGAAAATATACAAAACTTGATGATAATCAGATAGCTTTAACAATATATAATTCATTCAAGTCTATTCATTCATTCAAGTCTAAGAACAATATATAATTCATTCATATACTATTATAATTATACAATTTTATCTCTTCTAATAAGAGATTTTTATTTTATAAATAAAATAACAATAATTATAGAATATTATAATACTCGTATATAAAATATAATAGATAATAAACAAAACAATCAAACTTTTCCTCTGTAAACAAGGTAGTTAGTTATATGGGAATAACTATTTTACAAAATTCTTAAAATTTTTAGATTTATTTTAAATCTTTAAGATTTTAACTCCTAAATATTTAAAACATTTTGAGAAAATATTATAGTTAGAATATTTTTTTTTTTATTATTAATCAAAATGATTAAGTTTCAGTATTTACTGCAGCTATATTGTAAAAGTCTCTCATCACGTTACTTGATTTTGGAATAGTCACACAATTTCTTCCCTTTCCACTGATCTCAGCAAAACACTTTTGAATTTCTGTAGTACGAGAACACATTAATACGAAGCGTACTTCTTTTGGGAGTTCTTCATCTGCTAAATAGGCCTAAATTAAAAAATTAGTAATAATATATTTTATAAAATGGCAAATTTATATAAGTTTTGCTTAAAATACATGTCTAATATTGATAAATTATTTTACTAATAAAATTAGATAAAGAACTTTCTATGTTATGGCTTGTTTAGAATGTAGCTAAATCATTAGAAACCAAACCTTTTATTGTCCAGTGTAAAATTTACACTGGAACAAATGTTTTTGGCTAATTTAATTAATCATTGTCAAGTTCCAATCTAATATAAAAATAAATTGTAAGATTCCAGAACTTTGCTTACACAGCAAATGTTCTTGATTCACTTACATTAGTTACATTATATTAGATTTTAATGATTAATTAAGTTATTCAAAAATGTTTGTTTTGATGTAATTTTATGCTATATTGTAAAGGTCAAGATTATATTCATTTTGTTATTGTTTACATTAGATAAATCTCTCAAAAATCACTTGAGAATATATTAACAGATTAATGTTACACAACATTACTACAAGATATAATCTGCATTATAGTTAATCTCTATCATATTTTATCATTCAAATTTCTATCCAATATGCACATTTAATAACAATTTGGTTATGTTTGGTATGATGATATATTTTTTAATCATTTTACAAACTTATTTTAGAAGAATAAAATTTTTCATTAGATAAGATTAGTTAGGTTTGAAATTATTAAACATACAAAACATTTATTAATATACAATTTAAAACACTCATACTTTATTATTGCATTTGCTTTGATTAATGAACATTCTTTAATAATTGCTTATAATAACTTTTCCTCTAAGGATTAGAATGTTGTGTAATTGACAAACTCAATGTCAGAATTAATAAACAGTGCAAAAGAAATGTGCTTATTTAGAATGGCAATATTAAGACAATTTGATGCTATTCATATTCAATCTTTATTATTTCATTTGTGATTCCCAGATGAAAACCAAGTTTCATATATAAATAACACATATTTTTCTTTATTTTTAAAATCAAAGTCTTAGTTATTTCATGTTGCTAAACATTAGCAACATGAAATAACTAAGACTATTTAATTAATTGATAGCATGTTGCTAAACATTAGCAACATGCTATCAATTAATTAAAATAAATTCTAATGACACTACTTTAATTACTAAAAAGGCTCTCTTCAGAATTTGAAGTAATTTACTTTGCTTAAACAAGCAAATACAGTACTTGTAAATAATTTAAACCAGCAGTGTTCAAACTATGGTAATGTACCAAAGAGGATGTAGAATTTTTCCAATTTTAAATAAAAATATAATAATTTAAGTAAGTTCAAGTATTTGTTTTTCAGACTTTATTTGTAGAGAAATTATATTAAATAAATTTGTTTATAATTTGTAGAAACCAACAGCATTAATGTCATGAGCATTATGTCATCTAATTAAAATTGATTCTGCTAAGAATTAAGTTTTTTTTATTATAATTTGAATGAAGAATATAGTATTTATGTCCAAGCTCAAAACTTTGATATATGTGTTTCAATTTATTTATCACATTAAACAACTTTTTAACAGTTAAAAAAAAAGTTGAAATTTAGATTATTATTAAAATTTTAAAAATCAATTTTATTTTAATTAGAAATTATTATTTCTTCACTATTTTATATTCTAATTTTTAAGTTTTCTACAGATTGGTATCAGGTTATAGATCAGACTTTCACAAAAGCTATTTAGCTGTCAAATTGTTTAAATCTGTGGCTAAAGAAGTTTTTCAATAGTTTGATACACTGAATATAAATATTCTTATAATTTTATTTCTTTATTAAAACAATGAAATATGCTATAAAATATTTTATCCTGGTAAGTAGAAACATTAATAAAATACTATTGTCTATCTAATTTTATTTCATAACAATTACTGTATAAGATGATCTTCAGATAAGATGAGGTATAAATTTTCGTCAAAGTTTTATAGTTTTAGCATATATCTGTCCTACAAGATGACCCCCAAACTATCAATGGCCTAAGAATTTAGTTTAGATCAGCAATCATCATCTGGATAATACTGTATAGCGCAATGGTTCCCAACCTTTTTCGGGTGGCGACCCCCTTTTTATAAAAGCCAAGTGACCCGCGACCCCGATACAATTGAAAAAGGTATTTTTAATAAGGTAATTAAAAAAACAATAAAATTAGTTTTTTAGTATAATTTTATTTTAAATTATGTTTAATAATTAATTTAATGAGATGGTTGAAATTGCATGTATTATTAACCAGTCTCAAAGTTCGCGGGTGAGATTTTGTTAACGCCAACCTCATGTCATTCTCAACATTTAATTTATTCCTCTCAAAACTCTCAACACACGATTCAACTAACTGTGACAGAATAGCGTACTCAGATTACACTTATTTTAATTTTTTAAAAATATATGAAATTATTCAAACTTTAAGACACCATTAAAAATAAATATTGCATTATAGTGAAAATTTTGTTTTAGTTTACTGCATAAGTTGGCGACCCCACAGAAAACCTGTCGCGACCCATAGGTTGGGAACCCGTGGTATAGCGTATACAGAATTATGTCCTATTTGTAATTTTTTGAAGAAACTTAAAATTTTATTTTCTTGCATCTGGCAGCACTGCCTTGCAATTGTTGCAAACATTCACACTGATTCAAGCATTTGGGTAATGACCTTGACCATTCACAAAAATGTCCTATGGGTTATTCTATTTTGTGTGGACATACCCTACTCTCTACTAGTAAATAATTATGGTTTTTCCATTTTTTATAAAGATTTTAATTTATATAAATTTCAATCTAATTTTTTTTTGTATCTGTCCTACAAGACGACCCCAGATTTTGGGGTATTTTTTTATGATTCAACTATTGTCTTATCTGCGCAGATATATGGTATATTGTATTTAGTTCAAGCCCTGCTTTTCATAATGAAGGTATGTTAGTAACCTACATTATGAAAAGCCAGACTTGAGCAAAATTAATACTGGAACAAATCTGTATCATCCTAAATATTTTTACTTCTTGTCTGTGATTAATATACAGTATCTCAATGTGGCCTAATCTGACCAATTTTTCCAGATTTATCACACCTTGTCCAAAATGCATTTCCAATGTTAATAAAAGTGTGTCTATTTTTTGGATCTGATTCCTGACTGTTTTCATCACTTGACCTACAAGGTGTGATAAGTTTGGAAAAATTGGCCAACTTTTGACTACATCAAGGAAACCTGTATCATTTTTACTGAATTGCAACTAGAACAGAATCAATCAAACCAGTTGTTTTGAGCTGGTTCATACAAGTTTATCAGAACATTTTAAAGTGGTGAGATTAACTACCAATATAAAACATGTAGGTGTGGAGAACATACTGTATATTGGTTTGCATTCACCCATGTTAGTGTTAATTGTAAAGGTGCAATTGTCATTATGAAATTTATCAATTATGATAAACTGCTTAATCTGATATAACATCTTTCATGTAGAGTGACTGCTACTTTTGAAAATTGTTAGGTAATAATTATAGCTACAAATTTCTAAAGTTTAATTTTACAAGTTAGATGTTCTAAAAACTAAACCTTAGGGTTGTTCTAAGAGTGTAAACAAATTCACTGAAAATCTGCAACACGTCTAAGAACAAGCTAGAAAATTCTGTGTCGACATCACCTTACCTTGACTTATGAGCACAACAGTTCCAATTCCCTTTGTTCAGTGTTGGCAACATCAGAAAATGGCAAAATTGTCTGCATCTGAACTGAACATTTAGCAAATAAGTTTAAAGATGAAGGCATATGCACAGACAGATAAGTTCTTTGCTGTTCCATTTGCGATTATGTGATTTCGGTTGATGTGAAACACCAAAAAATGAAAATCATGTGACACATGAGTTCGGAAAAGCATAGAGAAGGCAAACTGAAAAAGAAGAATTTCAAGCAGACATTTATAGGGGCTGCATTTCAAAGAGGAAAAGAATCTCAGAATATAAATAATACGTTTTATGCAGATTTAACCACCACTCTTCTGCAGGCAATTATACCCTTATATAAGGTAAACAATCCAGCCTTTAACTCATTTCTCCAGAAATATATGAGAAAGCTTGTTCCCGACAAGAGCACACTTAGAAAAATCTACATGAAACCAGTTTATGATCAAATCACATCTAAAATCTTTGATGTTGTCAGAGACAATCCTGTAGTGTTCATACTGGACGAAACAATGGATTCCACAAAACAGTTCGCACTGAACGTTCTTGTTACACTTCTGACCAGATGCTATGTATAACCAATATTGTTCAAAATGTACCAACTTGAAAATATGAACTCAACTACAGTGCCCCAAGCACTGTACACAATGATGTTTGGCCACAACTTGACACAATGATGATTGTGTCAAGTTGTGGCCAAATGGTGTCCAGTACAAAAATGTTTGGCTTGTTCTTACAAATCAAGCATCTTCCATGTTGTCAGCATTCTCAAATTTGAAGTGCATCTACTGCAACCTAAAGCATGTGACTTGTCTTGCCCATGCCCTACACAGAGTATGTGAACATATTCTTGTAGAATATAGCAAGGCCAATGACTTCATTTCAAAAATGAAAATGGTTCTTGTCAAGTGCCCTAGTCAGAAATGCTTGTACCAAGACAAAACTGGGCTGCCATTACCACCCAGTGGTAACCTGTTGGGGATCTTGGATAAACAGTGTGGTGGTATACTGTGAGAACTTCGAGAAAATTAATGCGTTTATCAACAAACTTCCTCCTGGCGATTCTGCGACTGCCGACAGTGTCAAGAAACTGATTGCTGATCCAGTAGTGACCACAGAGCTCTACTCTGTGCATTTGTACAAGTTATTGGTGGATAAAATCAACAAGCTGGAAAGACGTGGAACTGAAATCTGGGATCAGTGGAATGTTGTAAGTCAGGTGCTTGATGTACTGGATGGTTTTGCCCTGGACAAACTCAGATCTAGTTTATCAAAAAAACCTGATTTGAAAAATATTTTGGATTGCACTGAACT